AAATTAGCCTCCGCCCATTTTAGCGCTCTTCCCCTTAACAAACCAATAACGTACGAAATCTTTGCTGCATCTGTTTGAAAACTTTGGGGTGAAAAAGAAAAAACTAGAGAGCATTGCAATAAAAAACCCCCACATTTACCCATCTCACCAGAATAGGGCTCAGGTGTGGGTGGGGAGACCTCTCTGAGACGAACGGGCGCTGGAGGACTTTGTGCAGGACTGGTGGAAGCACTGGCCTGGGGGGGGAGTGAATCTGCGGCAGGAGGTGGCCCTACAGCGGGAGGAGGACTAGCAGAAACAAGCTTTTGGTGAAGCTCCTTAAGCATTCCTGCAAATTGATCTAAACGCTGATTAGTATTCGTCTGTTGATCATATAAAGAGTGCAGTATTGAGTCATGGCGGACCAGTACAGCATGATCTTGATTGGGGTCAGGAGTTGATTCTGCTGGGTCAAGTTGGCTGGATGATTCTGCCATGTTCGGCTTTAACCTTCTGACCCACATGCAAAATCAACAAGTCTTAGTAAAGGTATGGGTTTTATTTTCTTGAAAAATAGACAGACAATTCTCCTTGATCCTTCCGGGAGCGGTTGTGTTGTGCAATCGGAGGTGCCTGGAATGAGCGCGGGGTTACTGGTGGCCCAAAATGAGGTGATCAGCGATGCAATATGGAACAGCTTACTTTAGAATGGTTCTGGTTGAAGCGTGGGGGAATGTGCCCAAGGTCCAGTGTGGAGAATGGTTCACGGAGGTTCCCGAGACGAGCGTGAGGATGGTGATGACTGGGAGCCAGAGAATCGATGGAGTGGTGTGGAGGGAGCAGCAGGTAGGCAGACTTGCAGGTAAGATCCACAGGAGGAGAAAACAATAGAACCAATCCAGTTGGAAAAAATCCAGAGACTGACCTAGAGACAGCAAACACAAGGACTATGAAACCACTGGAAAATACTGAAGAGACAGATCAAAAAACCAGTACTGTGGACTACAAGAGACAACTAGAGAGACTACCGGTGCACATTAATCATCCAGCACTGAGTGAAGGTTCTGCTGCTCCTTTATCCCCAACACTGATGAGGCTGATGAGATCCACCTGTGTAGGCTGCCCAGGTTCTTCACCAAGATCTTCGCTGGAAAAGATGCATCACTCACACTCAACACACATACAGGAACCCTGACAAATTGCTTTTTGTAGGTAAAACAAATAAAATTCAAAAGTCACAGAGCTTGAAGCTCTGTGACTTTTTATGTATACAGATATTTGATCAAATGTATGTCAGGTGAGAGAGTCGTGTATGAAAGCTTTTGGATCTACATCCATGTTGTGTGAGCGTTCTGAGATGACAGCTTGAGTTAAGCAAATTTTATGAGAAACCTCATAATGGATGTTGCAGTACTTGCATACAACATCCCTGAGTCTTACTTTTTGCTGTAATACATTTACCTTTAGGATTCAGTTTTTATTTAGCAACCTTTAAATTAGCTGAGAGACAGAGACACATCGCTCAGCAGCATGTCTATATCGACTCATGAAAGCATTAAGGTTGTCAGGTTTTGGTGATAAATTTTGATCATTGTTCAATCAAAATGCAGACCGCTATCTCCATTTACAGAAAGTGAACCTGTCTGTTGTTGCAGGTCAAAAAGCTGACTAAGCATCTGTGCCCCAATGCTCACGGCAAAATCAACTTCAAAGAGTTCTGCCATGCAGTGTTCGCTATCAAAGGTAAGACCACTTCTGTCACTCTGATGACTTCCATCTGTATTTATTATATATCAATAAGCACCAAGTTGTATCTTTAGTTTACAATCACCGTAAAAAAAAAGTCCACCCTCTTTTTGGATGAGGAAGAAAGTCAGTGGTTGTGAAACACAACAGCACAGCCCTGGTTTGACCTGTGGTTGTTCATCCCACATGCATACTTGTTGTCCTATGGGAACAAAGCAGGAAACAGAAAATCAAAACCTGTGTGAGCTCTGGAGCATCTCACCCAGCCACAGATTTAGAGTTAGACATCGTTATGTCAGTCAATTTAAGATCATAAAATAGATTAGAATACCAGACAAAGAAAAATACATAGCATTTTTTAAAATAATTGCTTCATTTATTAAGGGGAAAAACATTATTCAGACCAACCTGGCTCTATTTGAAATCATAAATAAATGATGATTAACCTCAGTAACCTGGTCATTCCCTGACCTGAGTTACTGTCAAACAGAATGGGAATCTCAAAGATCTTATCCCGTTACATCTGGTGTGAATCTAACAGTATTTCATAAGAAGACATGATACTGATCACCTAACATGTGGACGGAGAGACACTCTCCAGTGTCAGGATCTGGATTATTTGGTTTAATTGAGTTTTGGTGCTGAAGTTCAATTTGTGTGGAAACCTAAATGTTGCACAGGGTGCATAGAAATGGGATTTGGATTTCAGATTGTTGCCTTAAATTTAAATAATTATATTAAAGGAATGCAGTCTTGCCATCTAGTGTGTGTACATTAACCTCTACAGTCTATTGTATTTACACTATTACCTCTTCTTACATTTCTGAAAAGTAATTCCTTTACCTCCACCTCATTCCTCTTCTATCCTTCCGTTGCTGCTGCAGGTTTTGAGGAGATATTAAAGATGGTGGTTATCCCTCGGAGTCAGATGTCCCAGCACCAGTCAGTCACAGACAACGGCTACGTTTATCAGGTAAAACCTTTGTGCTAATGGTTCAAACTTAAGAAAACACAGCTGTGGGACACATAAATGAAACACTTTATCCACAGTGTCTGCTTGTTCTCCTTCAAACACGTCAACTAGAGCATCCGCCTGTTCTTCATCACGACTGTTCAGTACAATGTTGGCTCTTATCAGACCACTGCTGTAGAGTTAGGAGTATGTTTGAACACCAACGTCTATCTGACTCTTAAAGGATAGAGTTAATGCGAATTGACTGTAAAACATGATGTTTTCGCTGTGGTATGATGGTTGCTCAGCCCTGCAAGAGTTCAGCTCAGCTACACAGTTGCTTAGCAACAGGAGGACAAGTGAGAGAGACGGAGGTGTAGCCTTGTTTTGACAAAGATCCTCTAATAAAGTGATGCAACAATTGTTCAAGTGTTGTAAATGTTTTCATGAATGAATAAGTGAGTATATTTGGTGTGCATCTGGAATTTTTTATTGGTAATAGTGAATAAATATTAGAATTAAAATGTATATTCACTTCCAGTGATTAAATTGGGTGTAAAACTAAAGAGATGCATGTTGTCAAATAGTGTATGAGTGTGTTTATGAGATGCAAACATTTTAATGAAGAAATCAAATTTTCTGTCAGATTGTTGAAAATCCGTATTCCTCTAACATTATGCAGGATAACATGCAAAATCCACACATTTTAACCAAAGATGTTCCACAGCGCTCAGATGATTTGATTTGTTTTCATGAGAATCACCATTATAAATTACTATTAGGCTCACCTACATGTTTTCTAAGAGTTCTTTTCTCAGACATATTTAGAAATGTGATCTCTGAATCTTTCACTTAGCTTCTCATATTTTAAACAAATATGGCTGAATATAGACCTTAGACAAAGTTTTCAGTGGTTAAATCATAATGGTATAACAATACCATTATGATTTAACCACTGAAAACTTTTTGGATGCTCTGTCCAGATGAACTGGACAACCACTACAAACATAATTACTGACGATATTAACTCTAACCTCCAGCTTTGTTGTTAAGACAATACCAGTCTCTACTCTGGGCTAATGAGAAATGCAAAGCTAAAGTATAGCCAATAACCTAAAAGCAATAGCATTATGGAAGTTAGCCTTCAGTTATGTCGCTCCGGTTTTTCTAATAATCTCTAAATATGCTGCAGAACAAATCTATCTGGCTAATTTACTATATCTATTCTAATATTAGATGGATTTTTAATGCATTTTGTAAATATAAAAATAGAGCATTTCCAGCATTTTATAGTTCTTTATGTGCCACACACCTTTTCATCACAAACAAAATATGCATTAATGACTAGAAGGCAGTCTGGTAGTGAAAACTGTCCAGCATTTTCTTAAAAAACAATTGTAGCCTTATAATAGTCAAATAAAACCCAAAGTAACCAGTTATAAATATGAAAGTCCTTTGTTGCATTAGATTGGGCGTGACCTTCAGCAGAGTGAGCCCAGACAGATGCATGTATTATTAATGTTTGTATCTGGGGCATACTCCATGCTACCCTGTCTGATAAACGAACAGATTAATAACTCATCAAATGAATATAGTGATGTTAACATAGCCAAACAATAACTAGAACTACAGAGTCATCATCAACATTGTTCTAATTTGAAGTGAAGTCAGCTTTAAGCCAGTTTTTTCCGGAATAAATGTGGATTGTCAATTAATCCTGTTGATTAGGCTGAACTGTAGCAGATCATGGCAGATGAGTCAAAAATCCATAACAGCTTCCAGCCATTTCCATCAGTCTCACCTTACAGATCCATGAACCACCACAAAAAACTGTTGACTCTGTCATTTAACAGACTCAGACCACTAAAATAAAGAAGATACTGAAAAAGTATTTTAATTCAGGTGTGTCAGGTCACCAAGTAAACAAAATAAATGGGTCCAGTCGAAAACTGTTTACTTACGGATCAATTCAGTTTGATTCAATTTAGTAAGATAAATTTTGTACATTTATACTCCCCATACTTACAGACCACAAATCCATAATTTCATCAGACTGGGAAACTTGTTTTTATCACAAGAAACATTTTGAATCTCGAGTCCATATTATACATAAACTGTGGTATTGGATTGCACTGGTATCTTTGCAAATATTAATTCTAATTTATTATCATTAATTAGGTCATAATTTATGATATGTTAGAGGGAAATCCCTATCCCTCTAACATAATGCAGGATAACATTATCTAGTTTATGATAGATCATAGTCATTATGATCTTATTCCTCTCAGTTCGTAAACTACATGATCTGCAGTGATGTTGTAGAAATAAAATAAAACAAAACTAAAGAAAAAACCTCACCTACTAATATTATTGCTGTTACTTTGACATAATATATTTCATTATGTATGTTTGCAGAATGGTGAGGTGCAGCTCGGCCCTCCTATCATCACATGTACACGATCTTACCCAGAATGCAATGTGTACAACGTGAGGTGTGGAGCTGAGGCAGAGTGTGACATGGACAGCGTTGCTGAAAACACCCACAGCTCTGACTCCCAAGAGACATCACAGGACAGGTCAGTTCCAAAAAACAAGTGACCATTTGGAACTTAGCGAAGCGTGTGCTGACTGAAGCTGTTGCTGTGCAGCTACAGACATGTGACAGGGTCGGCGTCGGCCCCTGCCGTCCCCAGAGAGGAGCAGTTTGAGGACTATGGTGAGGGGTTGGATGTAGACTTCAGCCCCAGCAGCCCTTGTCCTGAAGACGACAGCAGGACCAATGGCTTCTCAGACCTGGGTTCCTCACTCCCTTCCAGGTTTGGATTTTGTCTGGAAATACAAACAAATCACAATCTTTAATTTGGTCTAAACTAATTCTGAACACATTTGTTAGAATGGAAGCTAAAAAGGACTGCTAGCAACTGTAACTTCATTCCATCTGGAACTGTTGAAAAGTTGCGAAGCAGATGCTGTGATGCTGAACCATAGAGCAGCTTTAAGGGAAGAGGGTGCTAGTCACTTTTAACACACTACAGCCAGAATGAGCACCAAGCAGCTCCTCAGATGTTGTAATAAGTAAATTCAGTTTTCCTCTAAATGTCTACCTACATCTCTTTTTGTTTCTTTCTTTTAGTCGTTTCCATTGATGATATAATTGCACAATTTAACTTTTCAAAAATATATTTACATAATGGAAACATGGCAATTTTGAAAAAAAAACTTCTTTTTTTTTAATAAAAAGTTTTGAGGTGGTTTTTAGCCTTATCAAAATTGGTTTATTTTGCAAAACTCCAAAGGAAACACTTTTTATTTATTTATCACAAGTCACATGACCAACAACCAGATGTTACCATTGGTGCATCCGAAGATGGCAGGAAGTAATTGGAGGATGATGGCACAGCTTGATTTTTACTGACTTATCACATGAACAAACTTAATCACGTGTGATTTTAATTCCATGTCCTGTTTGATGGAATCACAGCAATTGCAGAATTATGTTTTCTTGACATCAGCATAATGCAAACAAAGTCTTGTAATGGAGATGCTGCTGTTGATGATAAAAATAGTTAGAGTCTTCCTTCTTTTACTTTCATTGTTTACCGTTACTTTTTTGAGTAAAAATGACTGGTTTGTTTTGTTGGTACATATGGAAGGTTTTGTCTGGTTTATTGGTCCCATGTTATGTGTTGATCTTGTTTTTCCAAACACAGTGCTGGTCATACTCCTCAGAAGATGCAGCAGCTGTACAACAGCGATCTGCTCGACATCTACTGTTCTCAGTGCTGCAAGAAAGTGAATCTTCTCAATGACCTGGAGGCTCGTCTTCGAAACCTCAAGGCAAACAGGTAGACAAAGGAGAAAAATTGCAATCCACTCGCGCCTTTGATTGTAGATTTACTTTTAACCAGAACCACTACCATAATACCCTGACTGCTGACTCAGCCTTATATCACAGATTTACTGCAGGACATGTGAAGCCATCAACACTAAACCAATGTTATGCATTTAATGCTCCAAATTAAGCCAGACTTGTATCTACGACAACTAATTTCAGACCAGGTACGATGAGTGGTTGCAAGGTATGCGAGTCATTGCTGTACTTGCTAAACTCACATCGGAAGGGAATTGAAACATAAATTGTTGACTGCAGAATAGTCATTATAAGACAAACATAAAGACTAGAGTGGTTGTATTTGTCAGAGCAGCATTGTTCTCTTTTTTTAAAGCAGGCCATTTAAAACCTGTTATGATTAGCTTGACTCATATTCTGCTTTGTGTTTCAGTCCTAACAGGAAGATCTCCAGCACAGCGTTTGGACGGTGAGTGACTGACATTCTTCCTGATGAGCTAACTTTACCTTTTTGTAGCAGATGTGAGATGTAGCAGTGTTCTCTGTGTAATGAGTTATCAGGTATTTTTGTCTTGGTGTCTCTGCAGTCAGCTGTTTCAGGCCAATCTTGGAGTTTTTGGCTCCAGTCAGGGCAGCAGCACAGAGGACCTGTTCACAGACAGCATCGACTCCTGTGACCTCGACATCACAGACAAGGTACACACACACACACACACACACACACACACACACACACACACACACACACACACACACACACACACACACACACACACACACACACACACACACACACACACACACACACACAAATGAAGTCTTACAATTGCATTTCCTCATATGCAATTATAAGACATTGTGTTCTACGGAAGTTATTTTACCAATTTTGGCCAATTCTAATTTATTTGATTCTTTTTGAATAATTATAATATATACACATATACTTATTATTAGAAAATGTACCACAGGTTATTTGATAAAGGTAATGCTTTCAACATATGGGGTGAAAAAAAACAAAACAAACAAAACATTTTCAGAATGTCAAATATTTGCTGTTTAGTTTATTATTGATATTTCCATCTATGTCACATGGCACATACACTAATGGTATGTAGAACATCCTTGATATTGACTGAATAAGTAACATGGATTGTGATTCCTCTGCTTTTCTCACTCAGGTCAGTTATCTGGAGAAGAAGGTGACTGAGCTGGAGAGTGACAGTTTGGCCAACAGCGACCTGAAGTCTAAACTCAAACAGGAGAACACCCATCTGGTCCACAGGTGGGAGAAACATCCAGTACATGCTGGAGATTTTAGCTCCTGTGACTCAGCTTAACTCACATAGATCTAGTTTTATGTTATACATGTTTGATTAGTATGTAACGGTTTGTCTCTCAGGGTGCATGAACTGGAAGAGCAGGTGAAGGATGCTGAGACAAAGGCAGCAGAGACGCTGGGGGAGGAGATGAAGCGCCACCGTGAGGCTTACAGCAAGATGGAGAGAGACAGAAACACAGAGATAGATCTGCTCTGTTGCCGGTAACCTACAAGCACGCTGCAGAGGAGACTGCAGCACAGCCTAAAACATTAATTATTGTCAGACTGACTCAAACATTCATTTTGAGTCATCATCATCATCATCATCATCATCATCATCACCAAGAACACAATTGCTTATGGAGGCCATAAGCAGTGTGACTGTAGCTAATGTCAGTGACAGTCAGAGATCTGCTCAGTGCTGCTTTAGAGATATAGAATATTCTCCACAACAAGGAAGTAAACACTCTCTTCACTGGGTGTTTCTATTTATTATGAAGACTCTGTATGTACCAAAATCAAATCAACAATAGGTAGGTGAAACAGAAGCAACGACCTGCTGTAAACTGAAGCTCTGCTCCTGTCTGAAACGTTTTGCAGCCTCTTACAGACTTTTTTCCAGGATTGTTTTGTGTATAACTCTGAGCAGCTTCCCTGTCCCTGCTGAAGGCAGAATCCCCACATCATGATGCTGCCACTACTGTTTCACTGTAGAGATGGACAGTATTAGCTTCCATCACCTACTGTGTTTTTACATGAAGGCCAAAAAATATTTTATGTTTCAAATTTATGCTTTTCATTTAGGTTTTGCTTCACATTATGAATTGCAAAGTCATGAAAAATAATTTTATTTACTTGTCCACATTAATAACCAGTCTATTGAATGGGCTCAGTGCTAAAGGGACAGTAAGCCCAAACTAAAATGAGTGATTTTAATTTCTATGCAAACTTGTGCACAGGGTCCAGCAGTTAGAAGAGGAGAATGGAGACATGAGCGTAAATGTGAGCAGACTCAAGTCTCAGTCTGAGAAACTGGACCAGGTGAGTCAAACTGATGACAGGCCAGGGCTGCAGGACACTGAAAAAAAAACTGATGTTGCCATTTTTCTACCATTGTGATATATATAGTTTTGCAAAATGAAAAAATAAGAATTTTCAGCAGATAACTTGAATAGTACCTTCAGTTATGTTGCACTCCTGACATCTTGCTTACAGTTAACCTGCTCTGATCTTACCTCTTCTTGTGAATATCACAAGCATGTTTGTTTCTGTATCTGAGAGTTCATGTTCTTATTAAGGAAAACCTTGCACTGGCGATATCAGTCGCAGTCTATGTCCATTTTCTTCTCTCATCTCTTTCACCTTTGCCTCCATCATTCTGAGCGTTTGTGTTTTGACAAATGTGGTTAGTGTCTGATGTGAGTCATGACAAATTTAAGGACAGTATGAATGATAACCAAGGAGTTATTCCCTCATCAAAAACATACCTGGAGTGTTGTGTTGATTCTGTCATTCATGTTTGAGAAATCCTTTAATCTCCATGGCAACCATTTAGCTGTGTAAAACACCTGGGTGGATCTATCTCCTCCTCAGAGCTGCAGCTCCAAGTTTCTGAGCTTCTACCTCACAGAGCAGTCCTCCCCTCCAACTCTCTCACTCAGCTGCTTCAGACTAGCCAGCAACAATTAGTAAACACCTGGTGGAACAGTGCATCTGCTGAGCTCATTATAGGAGCTACTTCTCAGAGCCAAACTGCAGCTCTTTTATACATCAGCTCTATTTTCACAGGACTTACCAAGAAAAGAACACCGTCCCTGTGAAACATGCCTTTTGCTTAACTTTTAAGGTTCAGGTAAAAAGCAGTGATTTCTCTGTCACATTCAGTTTTCTTGACCTAGTCTTCCTGTTCACTCTGCAGGAAAAGCAAAAGATGACGGACAAATTGGAGGACACCAGTCTGAGGCTGAAGGATGAGGTGGACCTGTACAGAAAGATCATGGATAAGCTCTGGCACAACCGCCACGAGTTTCAGAAAGAAAAAGAGGCCATGCAGGAGGTGAGGCCGGCTTTCTCTCTGATTGTTGAAGTAGATCTGTCTCCATTCTTGTGACTTTTTCTCCTTAAATCTTTTCCTGTTTAGTTTTTCTGGTTGAAACATTGCTTTTTATAAAGATTTTTTTGTTCTGATTTTGGATATTATGCAGCTGGAGATATTTTTTGCTGCTACATTTTTACTTTTGCAAAGTTGTCATGATGCATAGCTATCATAATGTAACTTTTTTTTTTTTACAACCCAGAGCAGCTGATTTAGCTACGAGGCTAAATAACACCTTAATTGTTACCCCAGAGCCAGATGAGAGTACATAAAGGAGAGAGAGGAACTTCGGGATTCTTCTACAATATGAAATGTATTAAACTCAAGCGCTAACAAGGACCCAGCTACATCTAGAATGCAGCGCTATGTGTTTGGACAAGACTATCTCCACCAGAACAGTGAGATGCTTCCCAGTTCCCAGTAACAAATCCAAGGGTTTTAGTCTAGATTTAAGGGAACTCAGTGTTTCAGCTGTTCTGCTGTTTTTTAGATGTTTACTTCTCCAATGTTTGGTTCTGGTTCTGGTGATGCAGAGCAAAACCAGAACCTTCCAGACCGGAGAGGTCTGGAAGGTTGATACAACAGCAGGTCTTTAATATATTTTATTTTTCTCCTGCATCCAAAAAATCAGAACTTCCCCCTCCTGTGATTCACCTGCACATATCAGGACCTCCTCTCATCCACACCATCAGCCTCTAATGACTATTTCAATAAACATGGATGTTTAGGGTTATTCATTCTCTTTGGTTTAAGTAATGTATTTTTAACTCAACTAACTAAAATTAATCTTCAAAAAAAAAAAAACACATCTTATCAAATATTTTATATCTTCTGTTTGTAGTTGATTGACGACCTGCGCCGGGAGCTGGAGCATCTGCAGTTGTTCAAGTTGGAAATGGAACATCCTGGGAAGGGCAAAGGGCTGTCTGAGTTTAACGCCAAGACCAGAGAGACGGAAATGGAACTTGAAGTCAGGAGACTGAAACAGGTCAATGAACAGAAAACACTCCAGTTTGCTGAGAAAAATCCTATGTCTTTGTGCTGTTAAGTCACATTTTTCTGTCACTGATTTCACATTGTGTCCAGGCCTGTCATGATAACAAATTTTACGGTATGATAAAATGTCCCACAAATGATCTCGATAAACGATAATGTTTTGAGACCATTTCCAAGTAATATGTTGATAATAGCATTATAATGCAAGTCCACAAGTCATCAGAGACTAAGAAACTTTCATTTTGTTCAAAACACGCCACACTGGAAATGAAAGATGTTTTAATTATCCAAATGAAAACACAACCAAAATCAATAAATATAAAGGACATAGAAACCAAACACAACTGAAACCATAAATAAAATGGATTATAGAGTTTCTATAAACAAAATTACACACAAAAAATATTAATCATCACAATGGAAATGACCAAACTCATTTTAATTTATTATGTAATTAACTGCTTATTGTGACCGGCTTAAATGTGTCTGTTAAGTTAATCAGTGTTTTTGTAGTGAGTACATTTCATTTAAATATAAAAATCACAAAGTTAAAATTGGATTAAAAACAAACATTAATGAAAAGACAAAACATTAATAAAATTGCATTAACAATTAAAACCAATATTCATATTTAAAAGGATCTGTACGTTTGTACAATGAAAGGTACATTTAAATAAGAATGTTTTTGTTGCTCTTTGCTTCAAGATTCATGGCAACATAAAAACAGTCCAGTGTTGAGGTGTTTCAGATCAGAAATAACTCCACTAAAAAGTGAATCATCTGTAAATATTTTTCAGAATGATGCTGCTTATAGCCCACTGTGTTACTTCTTCATAGGTGGAATTTTAATTTTATTACCAGCCATAAAGAGTCACTGATTCTATTTGCATCAGAATCAGTGAGGACGCCTTAGATTAAAAGCATACAGTCTTTAGTGAAAAACAATTTTTTACTCAACAGATGTTTGAATCTTTGCTCTCACATATGGCCTTGCAGTCAGGTTTGATTCTACCCTTCACCCACTGCTGCTGAAACACTGTTGTTGTCTTCGAACTCTTTCAGGAGAACTTTAAGCTCAGAGACCAGAACGACGATCTTAACGCTCAGATTCTGAGTCTGAGTTTGTATGAAGCAAAGAACCTGTTTTCCTGCCACACCAAGGCGCAGTGCCTCGCTGCTGAGATCGACAACGCTTCGAGAGACGAGGTCAGGCTGATGGATGGAGCCTATGTCCATCCATCAGTTTGTTAGAATGTTGTTTGTTTTTTGTTGTTTGTTAGAACTGAATCATTTGAACTTTCTTCCTCTTGTTCCTCTTACAGCTTGTTGACGCTCTGAAAGAACAGGAAGAGATCAACCTGCGTCTGAGACAATATATGGACAAAATCATTCTGGCCATTCTTGATCACAATCCTTCCATCCTAGAGATTAAGCAGTAAACTTTACATTTGTTTTAGTGTAGGCGTGGTAATTAGCCATGGCACCAGTTTCTATATGTCTGAAAGTTTGAATGAAAGGCTTCAAACACTAAATGGGCTTGAACATGTTTTTTTTTAACCTTTCCAGTCTTTGTCTTTTTTTTGGACCAAAAAGATGTTTGTACTTTTTTAGCTCATACACTTCACCCAAATTTTGACATAAACAAATATGCTAAAAGTCAGGATTGTTTAACACATTCTTTCAAGATCATTTTATTGATCCCACAAGGAAATTATTTTGTACAAGTAACACAAAACACAGTAAAATATGAATAAATAGAATAAAAAAGAAAGTAGATAGAAAGTAGAATAGATTTTATCTAAGTAGTCAGTTAGTTAAAACACCAGCTGTGCGGTATGCCACATCAGTAAAGTCTTTATGACACTGGCTGCCTTTAACCACAGTTTCAATCTGTTTAGGCAGGAGGTAATGTGGTGCATTTGGTGAATATTCACAGAGAAATATTCCTGACTCCATCATGTAGCTGGTTCGACTGGGATTAATTCTAAACTTACCCAACATGTTTAGAGTTAGGAGCATTTCAGGGTTTCCTCAGGCACTACCTCCATCTGTAGTTCCATTTCTCTCCTTCTAATATTTTAGTGTGTCTGTTGGAACACAGCTGAAAGTTTACAAGATATACAGGGCCGTGCAGAGACCACTAAAAGGGCAGGTGCTCAAAAAAAAAAAAAAGGGGCACATCTAACCGGATTCT